TATATATATATATATATATATATACATATATATATATATATATATATGCACACAATTGGTAAAACCTCTTGCTGTAATGACTCCTTTAACATTATGTAACAGCTTTCTCTTTCTTTACTATTTTTAAAGTCTGCTTTTCTAAAATAAAAGTATAGCTACTCTTGTTAGTTTGGTTTTCATTTGAAGAGAGTATCTTTTTCTATTCCTCACTTTCAATAGGTGTGTGTCTTTATGAGTTAAGTGAATTTCTTGTACAAGGCATATAGCTGAGCCTTTAAAAAAATCCATTTGGCCACTGCATGTTTTGTAATTGGAAAATTAATTCATTTACATTCAAGTTTATTATTGACAGATAAGGGTTTACTACTGCCATTGTGTTACTTGGTTTTTGGTTGTTTGGGGACCTTTATTTTCTTTTTTTTCTCTTTTGCTGTTTTCCTTTGTGGCTCAGTGATTTTTCTTTAGCAGTATATTTGATTTTGTTCTAGTTTGTTCTTTCAAGTATATCTATTGTAGCTTTTTGATTATTTATTATCATGAGGAATGCATACAACCATCTTATAGTTACAACATTTTATTTTAAACTGATAATGACATAACTTTTACCACAAAGAGGAACAAAAACCATTTCTATACTTTAACATCCCCCCACATTTTTACTTTTCATATTTCAATTGACATCTTTTTATATTGCCCATTTCTTAACTAATTGTTACTGTTGTTATTTTTAACATTTTTGTATTTTAGTCTTCATACATAAGATATAATTGATTTACTTATGCCAATTACAGTATTAGAGTATTTTAAACTTCTCCGTTTTCTCTTTTACCTGGGAGTTCAATACCTTCAGGCTGTTTCTTGTTATGTCCGAGTGGCCATTTCTTTTAGAGGAAATAACTCCCTTTATAATTTCTCGTAAAACATGTCTGGTGTTGATGAATTTCCTCAGCCTTTGTTAGTATCAGAAAGTCTTTATTTTTCTTTAATGTTTGGAGGTTAGCTTTGCTGGGTATTCTTGACTGAAAATATTTTTTCTTTCAGCACTTCAATTATAATATCTCTCACTCCCTTGATCATCCAGGTTTCTGCTGAGAAATCTGCTAAAAGCCATATTGTGTCTGAATAGATTGTGATTATTTTTTTCTTACTGCTTTGAATGATTGTGCGTTTGATCTTTGCTAATTTGATTATGATGTGCCTTGAGGAATTTCTCTTTGAGTTAAATCTGATTGGTGATTTCTGAGCTTCGAGTACATGGATGCAGTCATTCATCTCAAGATTTGAAAAATTTTCGACCACTATTCCTTTAAATCTGCTTTTTAGGACTTTTTCTTTCTCACCTCCTTTGAGAGTTCCTAAAAGGTGAAGGTTATTTTGTTGATGGTGTTTCATAGTTCTCATATGTCTTCTTTACTTTGTGTATACTATTTCCTTTTTGCTTCTCTGATTGTATAATTTTACATGTTCTGTCTTTAAGCTTGCTAAATGCTTTTCTTTGTTTGATCAACAAAGCTTTTAATAACCTTTTTATTTTAGTCATTGCATTTCTTATTTGTAGGTTTTCTTTTTTCAATTTTTCTATTTATCTGTTAATTTTTTAAATTTTATTCCTGAAATTTAATTTTGTTTTCTAATCATATATTCTTATGATACCCTGAACTTATTTAAGATTGTTCTTAATTCTTTATCAGACATTTTCTAGACCTTCAGTTTTACTGGATCTATTGCTGGAGTTTTGTCGGTTTCTTTTGGTGTTGTCAAATTTAATCAAGTTTAAGTATTGTGTGTCTTTACGTTGATGCCTGTACATTTGAGAAGACAGTCACCTCCTCTAGTTTTTGCAGGGTTTTCCTGGTGTTGTTAGACCTTTTCTAAATTCAGAACTTAAATGCTTCTCCATTGTTGCTCACAATTCTGGGGAAGAATTAAAGTGAACACAAGAGCTGAAAACATTGTGCTGGAATGAACTCATTGTCTTCCCATTGTTTCCCAGTCTGGGTAAGATTATAGTGAATACTAGAATTTACACACTGTTCTGAATCTAAATTGTCACTCTTCCTTGTTTCCCATTTAGAGGAAGACCTATAATGAACATGTCGCCCTCAAACTATATTTCTACCCTGTCATCGTTTCTCAGTCTGGAAAAAATGTTAAAGGCATCTGAACTTAATCTTGAACTTTTAGTTCTTTCTGGGTGTGGGGAAGACTCCAAGTAACACCCAGGGTTCGTGAAAAATCTGGCCAGGGATTTGGATCTCCCTGTGGACCATGTTCCTTGCAGCACTGTGGTGCAAGCCAGTCTCTTCAATGTGGCATGCTGCTGATCACAGTGCAGAGTAGTCACCAATACCTGCATGCTAGTCACTGCAGTAGGCATCCCAATCTTTATTCCCAATTTGTTCTAGGTAGTTTGGTCTTCCTGGACTCCTAATGGTTATTTTAGAATGAGACCATAGTGAGCTTTCTGTGAAGATTTCCAAGGCAGTGCACATATTGAATGGCCACTTCCTATTCTCTCCTCTCACCTTGCAAAACATGAGTCTAGGGAAATTCCTTGTGAGTAGCATTATGCTGGTTTATGAAAGGGGGTGACACACTTTGAAATGACTATTTTTCTTATTTGTGACTTGTCTTGTTTTGTAAGCCTAGAATTTTCTCCACTTTTGCCCCAAGTTCTGCTGGATTCAGAGTGGTATTACTGTCTTTTTTGTTTATTTGTTTTGTTTTTTTGAGACAGAGTCTTGATCTGTCACCCAGGCTGGAGTGCAGTGGCAGGATCTCGGCTTATTGTAACCTTCCTCTCCTGAGTTCAAGCAATTCTCCCACCTCAGCCTCTTGAGTAGTTGGAATTACAAGCACACACCACCACACCGGGCTAATATTTGTATTTTTTTTGTAGAGAAGGGGTTTCACCATGTCGGCCAGACTGGTCTCGAACTCCTGACCTTAAGTGAGCC